TAAGACAGTTGTGTGAAGAGAATTATAGGCAACATAATTGTATGTATAATCTTTCATGAGCAAATAAATATTTTTGGTCAACAAATGAGCATTATTCAACTCAGAAAAAAAGTACAATAAATAACAAAAATAAATAAATCAAGACGTGGTAAGTCAATGAATAATTATAACATTAAATGCATGACCAATGACTTTCATCTTTTGTATGCTATCGTTTGCAGAATCTTTTGAAATTCGTAAAATCCTGGATGCTGTGCGTTGAGTTTTGATCCTCTTTGGCTTTGACGCAGAGCCTGTGACGGGTGGGATGAACAGAAAAAATTGAGGAGATATCAAGAAAGTTTGAGTTTCGACAAGGTGTATATACAGTTATTTGAAAAGTGGAGAGTGTAGAACTTTTGCTTTCCGTTTTTAGATATTTCTTTTAATAAAATGTACGATTTTCGCAGGAGAAGAACGAAAATTTTCGAAAAGTAAGAAGATATATCCCCCCCCCCTCCCCGCGCACCACACAGTCGCCACATTTCTGTCCAGTTACCAATTGAGAAATCTTATCATCTAGATACGATTGCTCTGTTTGAAGATTACTCAAAAAACGCCAAAAAGCAGGATGTGCTGAATACATGATGCTATTAAGTCGTTGATGCTACAGTTCGACGTTGTTGTTTATATAATTGAATAACGTCTTTTTACTCTTCTGTCTTTTGAATACATTTAAGAAAAAAAGATCATTTACACATCATAATTATTTTTTATGTAATTAATTTAAATTATAGAAATGATCAGTTTTGTTCAGTGTGCATACAATTATCTGTTCTCATAATTGTCTTAAACACTATAGTCATAGATTCATCGAACTGATTCTTAAGAATAGTATTTCTATTATGTATACAATAGGCTCCTATAAATTTCATGTGCAAAACAGATAAAATAATAAATATTTAAAAAGTGTTGGTGTGAACTAACGCTGTACAATCATTTTACACATTATCAAATTCGTCTCCCTTAGAATTTTTCATTTTTCTTTGATAATGATGCTGCCACTCGCTTATTACATTTGTTGTAACTGTCTCAACAACATTCTAATTCTTGCTGCAATTTTCGACAAAGTGCAGCTTCTTACAAGTCCTTAGTAGCATGTAGCTTTTCATGTTTTTGGCTGTTATACATATGTCCTTTGTTAAACTAGACACAACATTGCTTTTACCATCCGATCAAATATAGATTTTAAAATCAAGTGACTCTACTAAAAATGATGAAACTTTCACGATAGATCTTGACTAGTAGAGTAAAAGTTGCCATAGACTTAGAATGTCCAGATGCTTCCGTCTATGAGATATAGGGAGAGCAGAGATCAAAAATGATCTGAGGTTTTCTTCCTCACAAATAGTCAAAATTCACTTTTTATCGCTGAATTATTTTTTGTAGCAACTAGGACCAAATTGGGGTGTATATGTTTTTTTTGCTTAAAAGTGAGATACTGGAAGCCCTATCCAAAAAACGTCTTTTTTCCCTAGAGCGAATTTTGTAAAATGTGCCAAAAACCACCAGAGCATTATTTCAAGAGAAGAAGAAAACGTATACACCCCGATTTGATCGTTGTTGCCACACAAAATATTTCAGCTCAGTCGGTTAAAGTGTTCGGGGTAAAAAGGGGGAAAACTTCATTTTTGCTCCAAAAAAAAGTTGATTTTGAGAAAAAATGCGAAACAACGTAAAACGAGAGTTTTTCATGCATACCGGTCAATTAATGCACTTCCAAAACGGCTAGGAGGATGCATTGCTGACCCACATAACGCATTTTAATGATGAAATAACCATATCAGTGTAGATCATTTGCAACACGATAGAGTTGCAGAATATGATTTTTTTGTATACGGGATCTCAATAAACATTGAAGCTTTCTGTTCATATACCATTCGATAAAGGACACTTAATTGTGTTTTTAGGTATGAAAAACATCGAAAATGAAAACAGTGCATTTTTGGGGCTGGGAAAGGAGGAGTACTCTTAACGGAACTAATGCAAGGTTTTGTATGAAAAATGCCAAACCTTTGTGTAGCGTACGAAGCTATCCATTGTTTATTGTAAAATATTCAGAAACATTAAATAGCCAATTGAATGGCGAGTGATTCTGTACAAATAATACAAAATCCTTAGACGCTCTACGGAATTATTGATGGTTTTTACATTGAGAGCACAAAACTTTTACATTGTCAGCGAAACGAAGAATAGTTTCCTCAACATATTACGAAAGTTTGCGAAACTCTGCGAAGCTATCAATAGTTTAGCTCACGATGTACGAAATAACATATAAATCTACAGAATTTGCAGAAGATTTTCTGCGAAAACTACGAAATCCATGGAATTCTGCTAAACTTCAACAGGTTCCATACGAAAAGTACGAAATGATTTTCATTTTACTGAACTTCAAATCTTTCGACGAAAAGATACAAAGCTTTTAGAGTTCGGTAATAACCTATTTTTTAGAGTGTAGGTATAAGTGTATAGATGTAAGCGTATAGTAGTAGGAGAACAGGTCTAATGGAATAGAGATAAGACATAGATATAAGGATGTAGGAAGGGATTATACGTCTAAGGTATAAACATGTGTATGTAAGTGTAAGAGTATAGGTCTAGGACGTAAGTTTATGGGCATATGTATAAGATTAGAGGTGTAAAGTATACATGTATGCGCATATGTGTTATGATAAGGAACTATAGGCTTTCGAATGGCTCTCATTTCTGATCATTACGATCGTATACGTTTATTTACGTTGAGAAACGGTCGTACACTTTAGTGCGTACTGTGATCTCCTTCAAAAGTATTACCGTTTCAGGGAGCGGGTATTGCTGTGAACGATATACGTATTTCGCTATATACAGCGCTGAAGAAAAGGTACCATACGAAATCCAAAAAAGTTTCGATTTTTGCGACCAAATCGAAAGCCTTTCATGTGTCAGTTTCCTATGATGCTCCAGAGAATATGACTCCGTTTACCCATCTATGCTCAAACACCTATTTAATCTACAAATATTTTTAACTCACCATTCGACGCGTACTGAGAAACCCATCTATCTATTTCTAGTGATTTAGAATTCTCACTGAGGATTCACAGCAATGTGTTTCGCATTCTGCCACGTCAATTTCTGGTCCCCTATATCTATTTTTAACCCATTTATATCTATCCCTTAACCCTTACATCTATGCTTAACCCTTAAACCTATGTTTAACCCTTGAATTTACTCTTAACCCCTACATCTATACTGAACTTTTAAACCTTCCTTTAACCCTTAAATCTATCCTTAACCTTTGATTCCCGAATCTAAATCGTTTAATCTATCCTTAATCGCTGAAACCTTTATCTGAACCCGTATATAGACTGTGAACAGCTTATTCCTAAATCGAAACGCTTATATACATCCCTAACCACTCATTCCTAAATCGAAATCTTTATATCTATTATTGATCCGTTTGTTCCTGAATCTAACCTCTAAATCAGTCCTTAACCGCTGATTACTAAATCTTAACCCTCATATCTATCCTGAAAGTCTTACTTCTATATCTTAACCATAGTTTTTAGCTTTCATCCATTATTCATAAATTCCAACCCTTATTACTGTCCGTAACAACTTATTTCTTTGTGTTAATCTCTTCATCTATCCATAACACTAGTCTTATACTCAACAGTAAAGTCCTCATTTATAAAGCATGAATTCTGAAAGCTATCATTTGACAGCTAGAATCGATTTAGCGACAATGAATATAAATTAACGGAGCAATGATATCAGATCAGTCCACTGTCTGATTGGCGAATATGTGTTCTTGTTACAGATGGCTTAAGAAGAAAAATTGGTTACATGCGAGACTTCTGGAAGGTGCTATACGAAAAGTTTTCTACTAGAAAAATCTCTAATGGTTTTCATGAAACTTAATTGACTACAAAACCTTGTATAGGTTCTGCACAGTCGTACGATACCTGAAAAATTTCCATAACGGAGAAAGAAATCTCAAAAGTTTGATAATGTACCTTTTTTTTCAGTGTGTGCACAGCGATATATAATTGTAATATGGTGCATACTAGCAAGTTGATTTATTACTCGTATATGACCGCATATCAGACGTTTATGTTCGTTTACAACATCGTTAACATTCATATATGATCGTTTCTGATCGTCGTAATGCTCGAGTCGGGAAAAAGTGCCTTTTATTTTACGATATTGATAAAGCAATTTAACCGTGATGGTTTTTTTTTGTTTCTTCTGTTTTAACTACTTTTTTAAAAATATCTTTTAATGTTCATCATCTGCCAGTTTTCAATAGTTGTTTTCTATCTTGTTTTACTCGCCTACTTCTCATTTCCTTTTTTTGAATTATATATATGCGGGGCTTTTTTTTGTATATGAGTAGTATGCTTGCATTGTGTTTCAATCAAAGTATCTAGATCCATTTCGCATTTGCTTCTTACCCAAGCAGACAAACTTTTAAGAAAACGCGTTTAAACGCACAAAAATTGGCCTAAAATCAGCAAAAAGTGGACGTTTTTGGCTCACACTTGAGATTCCCGACTATGTGCCAAGAACGTCCATTTTTCTTCCTTTTTGTGCGTTTAAACGTGTTTTCATACAAAACACACGTTTACGCGTATACAAAAAAGGGAAAATGTGGTCGTTTTTTAATACTCGAGATGCTGGATCATGATTACAGTCACGTTTCTTGAGCTGGAAAAGCACAACAACTTTTTTCTTTTTTTTATATGCGTGTAAACGCGTTTTCTCAAAAGTTTATCTGCCAGACTAATAAAGAAATAATAAGGGTAGATAGCAGAACTATAATAATAGTGTCATAAATCTGATTCTTTATTATATATTAACAAGTGACAGTGAATACGAAAGAGAACAATCATAGAACGCTACCGATTTAAGTCTAATATGATCCTGCCTGATCTCTTAAGTTTAGAATGTGGATGTGGGTGAGTTTCGGTGTGATAGAAGAAAAGATGCATGTCCACACCCACACCCACACTCTAACAATTCTTAATGAATTAGATAGTATTATTGACAACGAAACTATTGCAGAAAAAGAACTTAAACAAGCAAAAAATTATGGTTTAGAAACAATCATTGATTTTGTTAGTGCAAAAAATGAATTTTATTCGAAAATTGCATTATTAGCACTACTTTATGTTGATCATTTAATTATTAATGAAATTAAATTAGAATTTATTCTCGATCAAACATTACAATAAACTACTATCAAACAAATCGAGCAATTTGCAAGAATATTAATTCAAAAATATCATGTACAACATACAGTTACTATCAATTTTGATTGCGGTGCTGTTTGTATTGGTTCAGGAAATGATCAAAGATTAGAATGCTTTACACAAGGTTCACTTTGTCTTCCTAAGAGATTTATTAAAGGTGCTGTAGGAGCGGGTAATGCGTTTGCAGCTGAAATTATTTATGGAATTTATAAAAAATGACCTATTCAAGAAAAATTATCTTGTGATGTTTGTGTTGCTGCAATATATTTAAATTTTGAAACATCTTATGCTGGTGTGAAAAGTATTGAAGAATGTATGAAATTAAAAGAAATATTTGAATTTAGAATATTGGATGAAACATCATGTATTACTTTTATTGAGTAATAGACAAGAGCAACTTAATTGATATAAAAATTTATTGTAAAAACAATAATTTCAATGAATGTTTTATCATGATTGCTTAAAATGGAAGATCGAAATGTAAAATACAGCAAATTAAGATTGACATTTTTTTTATTTAATTTATCAATAAGAATCAAAAATAGTAGTATGGCAGTATGCATATGATTTGAATATCACTAAAGTATTTATTATGACATAAACTGGCATGTTGTCAATGAAAATTAATCAGAAATCGATTTTGAAAAATATAATTCAATTTGATGTTTTTCTAAGATTTTTATATATTTATAAATATGCGAATGCTTTTATCGACGTCTGGAGTGCGGGCATCGGTCTTCTTCATAATCATAACCAATCGTCCATATCCACGCCCACACTCCACTCTTTTTGAAGACTATGTATGGCATGCGCGAATCGAATCAACGATTGTTTAATAATTCTTATTCTTACCCTTCTTTATCCGTTCATATCTTTTGTATGTGTCAAAGTCGGATCTTATCTACAACTACTTGACTGTGTGGAAGAAGAGGGAAGCAAGAGTGAATGCGAGCATGTAGGTGTACAAGTGGATAATAAAAGGGATCATAGTTAGCCATGCACATCCACAACCACAGGGATAAAGTTAATTTTTATTTAGTAAAAAATAAAGAAGAACGTGCAATCAGAGACGAGAAGAGATACTAGAGAAAGAAGATAGATAAAGAACACAATCTAGCTTCACTGTAGTCTTACTAAAGGAGTAAAAAATATAAAGAACAGCCGACAAATATAGAAAAAGCGATAGATCTGACTACAACAACCAAAACTGTATAAGATAATATCAATAACCAAGGGAAAACTTATAACGAGAAGAAGGATAAGAATTATAATAAAACTAAAGAAATGATATATTAAAGGCAGAACCTGTAACAGGTCTGTTTGAGTTCGAACAAAACCTTAATTACAACCAAGCATCCAAGACATAATGCCGACCATCTGTGCACGTACCTTCATAGAACAAATGTTTACGCTGATCATCTTTAAAGTATACTCGTAATTCTTGTCCTTTTCTCTCTGTTAGAAGACTAACACAATTGTTATCGCCATAACAATAGTCGATTCTCGATGTCATGGGTAAATGTGTTACAGTTTTAAAATATTTTCATGAATGTTCAATGGCTAATTTCGATGTTAAAAACGTGTCAGATTCAGTATTCTCAAGCAATATGTCAAAGAGAATTAAATTTTTTAGTTTTAGTAAAGTTTGTGATAATTCAAGAAGAAATGTTGAGTGAAATGGGTTTATACATTCTTTGTAACAATTACTACTTACATTCTAAGTTTCTGATTATCAATTTTGTTGCTGTTGGCAATTTAATAAATCAATAATTTGCTTCGAATTGGAATGATTCGCTTTTAACTACTTTACATTCAATGATATTGATAATAATTTGGAATAGAGTATTGTATATGAATCTAAATTCGTGAATTTTCCATCAACCCAAACTTCACGTAACTTTGTGAGTAATATGCCACCGGACATAATTAAAGACTTCAGTTTACAATCTCTATCATTGACATCCAGAAAAAGACATCTTTGATTTTTCAATCGCTGTAATGTCATCTTAGAAACGAACACATTACCGATCGCTTCTATCATATCTGAAATTGTGGTTGCAGACGGTAGTGATTTCATTATCTCCTCAGAACAAGCAAAAGATACAAGATATCGCAAATTCTGCTTTAAATTTTCACATATTCAATAGAAAAACTCGTATTAATAGAATAAATAGCTAATTCGGGTGATTTTAGTTGATTTTTGAATAAGAATAAAAATTGTCGTATAATTTCCATTGTCTGCTGATCACGTAACATACAGATGAGTTCTAATCTTATCCAGGTTAAAATTTTTGGGACGAAACTGCTTATTAGAGGCTATGGTTCAAAACTGTTTTACGGACAAATTCAATTCTTCTAGATTGATCATCATTTAAAATAAATAGTAAAAATAATTAGTCTTTCCTAAATTCTGAATTGTTAATTTTCTTAATCGCAGTAGTTGTATATCAGCCTGTCTTAGAAGATTTACATTATTAAAGTAATAGTAGTTACTGCCTTCGGATAAACTCAAATCCATTAATTGCAAGAGATTGCTTGAAAGAATATCTTCAAGTTGTTGTTTTACATAAGCAGCCAGTTTTATATGAAGAGTACTTAACGAAGAAAAATGTTCTAAAAATCAAGAAGTTTTTTTGAATATTTTTCTCCAATTAATGTTAAACATTGTACACGATTCATTTGTTTTAATAGTTTGTAATTCTCACGAAAAAAGTTCAGTTGCTGTTTACCTTTTTAGAGTTAGATCATGAATGTTATGACCGTGAACAGGAAGTATTTTTCTACAGAAAACATTAAATAATTTGTATGGTAAATCACTCAAATCAATAGTTGATGAATAAGATTCAACAATGTTTTGAAAGCGTAGATTTAGACTATTGATAGAATAGAGAGCATCGAATTTATGCAGATAAGCGAACACTGATAGCCATAATTCATCCTGTAATCGTTCCATTTCGTAAACAGTGATCAAAAATTAAAAGAAACGAAGTTGTGGTTCGTCAAAGGCGACGAACGAAAAAGTGACTATTTTTCCTATGTTTACCTATATACTTTCAACGTCGTTCTGTAACATCAACTTCTGCATACATATTTGTTAAATAAAAAGATATGTGTCGACTTGTTAGCGTCATGACTGCAGGTAGAGAGAAAAATGTATTCTCCTATGACCAAAAAAAAAGCATGCACACGATTAGAGAGTAGGTGTGGCATGTAACGAGATATGCTTCATATTGGTACTTATCTCTCTTAATCATGCTCATGATAACGTCCACATCCTTAATTCATATCTACACGTATACAGTGCGCTATGATTTTCGAACTGAGGATTTTGGACGTGTGAGTGTGGGACATCTCTTCACTTATCCCACTATAACACATAAACAGGCTTTGCATAGTTTACCAATAGGCAAAATACTCAGCAAATAGTTAATATATATACCTAATAATACGTACAAAATGCGCCAATAACAGGCACGGAACTTTTATTTTAGATTAACCGTCTACTCAGAATTGCGCGAACATTCAAGAAAATTGTTGCTATTATATGGGTGTGGGTATTCTTCTTCTTTCAGTCACATCCACATCCACACCCACTCTTGCTCGCCATAAGAAGAGACTCAATCCTATAGTCAGGCTCCTCTTGCTCAAGCTGAGCGAGAGAAGCAGGTTAGTGTTTGTGTTTCAATGTCTCGCGTGCAGACAAGCTGAGGAATGTTGTTGTTGTCGGGAATGATGCTGGTCGACGAAGAAGGTTGTTCATCCATCGTCCAGCATTTGTTCGACGCCATTCATTGAAATAGAAGGATGAAAGGACGATGTACAAGAAGAAACTCGTCCATTGTGTTGTAAATGAAATCCAATAGGAAACAATGAGGAAATAACGAAGTGAACTGTCATCTAAGCTGTGACAATCGAAAATGAATGATGAGATGAACAGTGGCAGAGAGAAGAGCTGAGGAACAATAGTGATCGCTGATCCGACGACGAATTCTTTGTTGTCATTCAACACATTGACAATCAAATGAAGACGAACTCGAATGTTCATTCGGACTGTCTGATTGCTTTGACCAGCTAGAGAAGAAAAGTATCTCCATCCTAACATCGATGAGAAATGAAATGGTTACCTGAATGAGTGCTAATCGTCTTCTTGATAACAATGCGAGTGATGGTGAGGATTGAAGAGAGATTGATCAAGAAGGGCAACAGAGAATCAAATGCGGGGCAATTTGTATGGCACAGAGTGATCCTTTCCCGTTTGTTTGAGTGGAGAAAGATCTGTAGAAGAAGATCTCATAGAGATCGATGATGAAGACGAAGAAGAAAATGAAGAGAATCAATTGACGAGCAATGCGAGGTTGTTTCAACCATTGACCCCTAAAAAGAGTGTTGCATAGAAACTTTCGACGGAGATGAGAGATGTTAACCAATAGACAAGGCGAGTGATAGATGAAAGAAGATAACTCAAGGATTTTCAAAGAAGATCATTCGTTATTGAGGATAACGAAAATGTTCCAGTGATGCTCAGAACGAAATGAAGAAGATGAGCATTGATAAAAGCGAGATAGTTAATTCTAAAGTATTTTCAGATAATCAAACAGATCTATGCGAAGAAAAACAGCAGACTTCCAGATTTCAAAAGGTTTCAGAAGATTCCACGAGACTGCAGTCTTAAAGTCTTTTGAAGTTGGTTGTTTTCTTCTCAATAAGACCTCATGAGTATGAGATCGTTGTCTATATCTGAGCAAAAGAAATCATCTCAAGTTTTTTTCTGCACTTACGTCGCTCATGGTCAATAGAAACTTGTGATCTGGCAGAGCTTCGTAATATATATGGATTCAACTCTACTTTGGCAATCGAACGATATGTTCAGTTTGCAAATATTTGTTTAAATTCAATGTAGAAATATTGTTTTAGTATTTTCTGTACTACTCACCGCCTAGAAAAGCAGACAAAATGGTTTATAGATAGGTTATTGTAATAAA